AACTGTAATGCAACAAATAACAAATAAGAATATATGATTAACGGATTGACCTACCAATTTATAACACCCTGTATATTTTATGATAAGTATGAAAAATTCAGTATATCAAAATTTCTCAGAAATATTGTAAATAAATTTACAGATTCATTATTCTCTTTCCAATAAATGTACCTAATCATTTGAAAAATATATTACCACTTCTAGAAAAGTTCCTTGCTTGTTTTTACTGTCAAGATTAGATGTTTTGACACTGTTATTCAGCCGTTTGTGTAACTAAGCCTATTTTATTGCTAGTTCTAGGTAAATTAAGTCTGATGTCAATATGTTTATGTTAGTGTTGCTCTAATTTATTATATTTTATTATTTATCCATCAAATGTGCAAGGAAACAAAAATTATTATCTTTCACGCAGTTAATTAATAATATGAAATAATTACGCTTTATAATTTCCTAATAAGAATACCAATAAAAAAATTTTTTCGAAACACAACATTAAAAACGTATTTTTAGAGTTTTTAATTATCTTTAGAGCTAAATAAGATATACATAAGTAGCTTTCAGATTTGTTATAGTGGCTCTGCTATGACGAAGAGCACTTACTTATTTGCAATATTGCAACACTATATTAGAAATTATGTTAGTCTGGGGTAAAAATTGAATGTTCCTAATTAACAAATTTTAAATGTAACCATTTAACTGGGCCATTCTCTAAATTGCATCAGTAAAAAGAACAAATAATGTAAATGAACCCGTCCTAATATGTTTTAATTAACAATTTAATTGGAATCATAAAAAGTCTATTAAAACGTCCAATTTATTATACTTATACCATTAAATCTCGAAAGCACTGATATACAGTTACAGACGGATGTTGTGTTTCATAGGCGGCACAATGTCAAATTTTTTTGGGCTTGGGCTTGGCCTAAGATTTCAGTAGAATTAAAGATGAGACAAAATAAGTGTATATTCAACATCTGTATAATAATTATTATAATAAATTTTCTATTAATGAACTCAACCGTATTATTTTATTCAGTAGTTACTATGTTCGATGGTAATATGTGAAATTGTTTCAGACTTCAAACCTACTAATTAACTAAGCTGACTTTTTTTGCTTTCTACACCAGAGCGATTTGGTATCTAAACCTAAAATAATCTAAATAACTACGTAAATTTTCGTTATTTAGTACAGCTTAGTCGTACGTAAATTTGTATAAAATTATGACAAATATTAAGGATTGCCAAATAATATCGGGTCTCCCTAACGCAAGATTTGAATTGTGAGCTATTTTCATTTCGAATAGTTGGCAGCATTGTGCAGGGTAACATGTTGTAGTAAACACGTTGCGGTTAGATAAAATGGAGCGCTGTATGATGGAAGAGCGAGTGAAGACTGTGAAAATTCATTACAAGTACGGAGAGTGTGTAGATGAGACTGTGCGCAAATTACTAGGAAATTTCGGTAGAAGGAACGCCCCGAATGAAACAACTGTGTTGCCAAATTTTATCAAACAGGTGCGGTTACAGACAAAAGAAAACAGACCGACCTCGTCTTGGCCGTTCAGCCGAAAATATTGCTACGGTGAGTGATAGTGTGGACGAAATTCCCATAACCTCAGTGCGCCGTCGGTCACTGCAATTAAACATTTCAAAAAACACAATGCAGTGGATAACAAAAGATCTGCATCTGCATCCATTCAAGATTCAACTCACTCGGGAATTCAAACCATACGACCATTTAATGCCATCGGACATTCATTGATTGGATGTTGGAGAATAGTGATTTTGCTAAGAAAATCATCTTTAGCGACGAGGTGTATTTCCATCTTAGTGAGTACGTGAACAAGCAAAATGTCGAATTTGGGGCAGAGACAATCCTCGGGCTATTCACGAACGACCACTGTATACCCAAAGAGTGACAGAATGTTGTGGATTTTACGCTGGTGGGATAATTGGTTTGTTGTTTTTTTTTTTAAATGAGGCTGGAAACTCAATAAATGTCAATGGAGAAGGATATCGATAGATGCTATTGAACTTTTTGTGGCCTCATTTGGATGGTATGGATTTGGAAGACATGTGGTTTCAGCAGGATGATGCCACCTGCCATAGCACGTGCCACTTGTTAAGGCAGAAAAATGTACGACTGATCTCACGAAACAGTGAAGTGACTTTGCCACCAAGACCAAGCGATTTTACACCATGCGACTTTTTTCTGCAAAGATTCGTAAAGTTTATTCTGCTCAAATGAATTCCTTAAAAAAAGGTACAAATTCAGAATAGCAGGTATGCGAAAGCGTGATGCAGAATTTCCTTAAAATAAGTCGGGTATGCTTAATAATTCGCGCAGGATATCTGTCCGATATTCTCTTTCATATTTAACGGCAATGTCTACAATTTAAAAATATGTAAAATCTTTACCAACTTCTTAATTAGTGAAATATTTTTTGCCTCATTTGAAATCATGCGTTTCTTTTGGGACATCCTTTATTTTCACTGTTTTATGTAAATAATATGATCCCTTTAAACATCCGTGTTGCAATATAATTCAGTGATGTAGGATTTTATCTTAAAAAACAATGCTTATAGCATCAAAAAGACAAATAATATTTGCATGTTTAGAAACAGTGCGTTTGTTTAGAGATTTATAATGTTATTTCAACATTTTTATTATTGGAAGGTTATCCATTTTAAGACCATTTCAAAATTACTCTTATAATGTTTGTATGTGCATACTGTAAGTTAATTTCATTGTATATTTCTCCTTCATGTTATATATCTAAATTAAATTCGCAGGAAACAAAGATTGGCCTTCGTAATGGTTCTCGATTATTCACTGTATAATATTAAAGTCAATGATCATTTCACATTATTTGTTGTTTATAACAATCACCAACAAGGTAGGCTTTGTAAAAGGAAGTCAGTAAACCGCAACATTCTCTAGTTTATATTTTTTCTGCTGTATCACAGAGAAGACACATGTTTATAAATAATTTACTAGGAAATGTTGTAAAAAATGTGTGAGTCATCTGTTATTCTTGCGAAAGAAAATTATTATTTGAAAATGACATAATGTTGGTCCTGGTTTGTTTCTATTAATAAAATTTTTACCTTTAGAGCTACTTGAATAAAGGCGAAAGTTATTCGATTAGCGTTCCATTTTCACATTTACTAAAAAAAAATGTAAATATTCCTGCAACTGCGGGTATCCAAGAATATTACAATTTCGAACAAAACAGTGACAAACAAACGTAGTACTTAGTGAAAGTCACTCTATTTTTGTTATTTCAAAATGATGCTAAAATTATTTGTTGGTGCCTTCATGTGCATAGTTGTAGGAGACGGTAAAGAAATTTGTTTTAGAAATAAAAGCAAAAAATATATGGATAATTAAAAATTGTGATACACGAGTCAGATTTAAATTGGATCCAAGAGTATGTGATAAATGAGGTTTTTCATATGAACATTTCTTTAAAATTGCTTCGTTTTCGAGATACAAGATAAAGTTTAAAAAAATGTATTTTTTTTTTATTATATTTTTCGAACTGGCGGACCTATTCAAAGTAAATTTAGTATATATTTAGTCGTCTAAGCGTCTAAGTGACAGAAAGATGGATTATGGCTTCAATTAGTTAACCGAATGTAGTACACTCGTGTACTATGTAAAAATAATTCACATTTTTCATTAAAGCCACTGAAGTAAAAAATGTCTTGATTCTTTTTACATATGTCTCAGTTTCACGGGATTTTGTGTAAGCAGGTGTAGGTTGTCCATATTTGTATCTGTATATTACAGCCACCCTATATATAGGTACCAACAATCGTCACCGCAATTTTGTCACAAACTGTTTCATTCGCTAAAGAGAACGGTACATCGAACAAATCCTTGACTTGAGATATTTCTCACTGTTCTAGCAAAATGCTGAGCTCGATACATCAGACATCAATTATGCACACGCAAGACACGAGGAACAAAAAAATACCAAGAATCTCATTATAATTCCGATTTGTGAACTAATTATAAAATTGTTATTATATTGACGGTCACAGTAATTTATAGTAGAGTTTTTTGTTATACCTATCTGTGTTTATCTGCAGGACTATGTGACCCATTTGAAAAGTTTAGAATATTTCTATACTCATTCAAGCATCAATCACTACCTATTACATTTTAGTAATAAGTAGATATCGGAAATATTAGGGCGGCTGCAATATGGTACATTTTTGGCTGTAGGCTGTGTTCTCCTTTATGAATTTTATTCAAACAAAAATGACAACCATTGCTTTCTTATAACTGCACTCTTTACAAAACATATGTGTAAGTATTTGCATAATAGATCTGAAGCTTCGCATCGATCATGTTATTCCATACGTATCTAGCGGCACCCTAAAGCCTGCCCTGTTGGCCTGGCGTACCGGTGAACAATCCAAGTTTTTTTATGAGAACGTTGTCCGTGTTCGAGTGCGTTTGACGCTTTGCTTGGTCAATAGTATGGGACATGTTTTTTAGCAGTAGCATTGTGTATCGTGAGCATAGAGCGGCACACAGCTTGACCATAGATTTAGCCTATGTCTGCGACTACAACGCGTATTGCCACTCACTAGCGTAATATAAATAGATTACTAGTGTTTATTTAGTAGATAGTCGTCACAAAGTTTCCCATGTCTAGTAATAAGTATTTATATTTGTTTCATTTTTTATTTTTATACATTTTTTATTTTTTTTTACATCACTTTCTATGCGTAATACTTATTGACTTTTAAACTGAATGCTTCTAAATTGTGTAAATTGTTTGATTATATTGTAGCACATATCCCTGATTGATTTATACTCTAAATTTTGAGAACTCAAAAATCCTAAATTTTTTTCTTAATACGGGGACTGAAGGGTTCAGCCTTTGAGTCGTTTAGGTTACCATTTTATGTTCATCAGACAACTCTAATAGAAAACATAAACATACATGTTCTCGCTGTCATAACTCAAAATCATCTCCTTGTTCCAGATGTTTCGAATCATGTTACTGGCACCTGATAGAGAAGCGCTTCTGCTTCGACGAAGAGATCGCCTTGTACCAGGAACCACTCGGAAAAGAAGAAAAAAACAATAACATGTTCGACAACATGGCGTTCTACGACAGCGTATCTGTGATAGCGGGCCGCGCGATAGTTACCATAGATCCACTCCCCGAAAAGGTCAGAGATGGTGGACAGCCCGTAGTACAACAACCCAGAAGACTGAGGTGGCAGGAACAAATGAGGATCGAGGCCAGGAATGGCGACGTTATTATGAGGACAGAACCTTCCTTGCTAGAGAAGACCAGCGACGACAGCGCCAGCAGTGACACTCAGGAAAATGCCCTCAAAGACGATGAAGTAAGTACAACAAATAGGCTTTTTCGTATCGGACCTCTCACATTGTGATCTAATAATTGTATAAGTACGCTTGACTATAAATATGTAATCAGCCTCATAAGCTCTGTTCCAAAATTCGTTACATTCAAACCAAAAACCAACTGAATTTGAATTTATATACATATGAGTTATATAGATTAACATAATTGTGACGCGATAGCAGTTTTGCAAATGGAAAGAAAAATTTTAGTCACAACCATCTTAACAATAACTATGCATGAAAGATTAATTTGACGTTAGGGTGTTGTTAGATCTTAATAAAATGGAAATAGATAGATATTAAAATCAGTTACCTTGCTATTAATCTGAATGTGTCATTTCAAATACCTGAAGCTTACTGCAGCGTATAGCATAGGAGGCATGTTGGTGTGTCTGATCCGAAATGGCCTGTTGTTTATGGGTTCATAGAATCGTGAATTGCGGAATATAAATATTATTTTGACAGGCTTATGTAAAGCAGTTACATACATATAAAATTTGAATAAAATTAACCAACAGCAACTAACTTAGGAACATTTTGAGACTTTTCTATTATAAAAAAAATAGTTCAAGGGAATTTGGATAGACCATTTGCAAATAGAACCTTTTCTCCTTGAAATTTTTTCGTACCACAGTTGGCGAATATATTCCAAAAAGGATGAGTGTATTAGGATATATAGGAATATCGTTAGCAGCGAAGCCTAAATAAAAGTCAATTATTTTGCCTCAAATTCTCAAAATTTAAAATAATAGTGGAATTTTATAAATCTATCCATCTGGCCATATTCTGTTCAAATAAGCATGAATTTATCAACATTTGTTGCATCTGCTGATCCATGAAATAAAAATATAATGCAAATGATCTTTTCACATCTGAAATAAGGAAATTTTCAATATTAGATGCTTGCTTTAACGACATTGGTTAGCTTTAGTTGAACTCTCTTGTACGTAGGTAGGTTTGAAATCAATATCTTCAGTGGTTCATCAAAAACTGTGTTTTACGTCCTCTCTTTGAAGGATTACACAGGCACACAAAAAAACAAAAGTCCAAACTCAAGAAAGCCACATATCATTTCCAAACAAATTTCGGAGAAAAGTGAAATTTTTGAGTGAAACTGGTCCAAATATGGGTATGGGTATGAGTTTTTCCTAAATTCCAAATACATCAGTTTCCTAGTATTTTGAGACGCTAAACACGATGCCATTGGTAAAATTTAGCCATGACCTCGATATTTCTCAGAAAATCTATTATTTTGGTGAAAACTGGCTCCAGTATGGGCCAAAACTGATTTTTTTCTTAAATTTTATCCAAGTATATCATTTTCGTAGTATTTTTAGGCGTTAAACACGATACCATTGCTGGAATTTACCTCTGAACTGGATATCTTTCCGATAATCCAAAATTTTTACACACCTGAAAACTAAAAAAGGAAATTATTAACAACTTCATAAGAAACACAAGGACTTACCACTTTTACCTCCATCATCAACATAAAAAATTCCAAAATTATTGACCATTCTGTTTGATAAAGAAAAATATTCATTATCGCAATTTAAAACAAATTACAGCTTTAGGATGAAAAGAATTATAATATTATTGGATTATTTAAGATATTGGATGAAAATATGACTTAAATACAGAATAAAGAAAATTAAGCAAATATTTTTATAAATTGATGAAAAATGCTGATTTAGGAGAAATTATGGAAAATATTAGAAAATATAAAGACGTAAAGTTAGTCACTAGATGATGAAGTAGATATGATGCAAACCATTATATTTTAAAGCCAAATTTTCACAGTTGTAGGTTTTAGTATATTAGATATTTCGAAAACAAATGTGCATGATTTTTATTACAACCACATTAAACACAAATTTAATAATAAAGCAAAATTACTGTACACCGACACTGATTCTTTAATATATCATTTCTTTGTTTACGACATATACAGGGTGGTCCCAATTTTATGCAGCAAACTTCGAGGGCAGATAAATCTCTTTAAAATAATAGGTATTTGCCTTATAAACCAAGGTCTGGAACGGTCCCGTTTTAGAGATACAGGGTGTTGGAGTTGTTAAAAAAATTTGATTTTTTGTTTATATCTCGGGAATCTATTAACCGATCTCAATAAAATTTGGTACATATAATGTATGATAGTAGGCCTTACATTTCCTAATATGAGCTTTAAAGGTTCAACCAGTGGTGTACAACTGGACAGGGGTCGCCCCTTTTTTATAAAGAAAACCTACGCCACTGCATTTTTACAAGTTATTGTATCGGATTTATATTCAAATGCACAAAATACGACAAAAGGTAACTTGTATTTTTTCCCTAAGATTCGCCGTTCTCAAGTTATTCATACCAATACAATCCCCTGGTGGCAGACACTTCTATAATAATATTACAAGAATATTTATATTTATGCTTACAAGTAAGTAAGCACACCAACGAAATTCTTTACACTCCTTTCCACACCATCTGTGAGGTAGTGTTCCTGGCGCGTTTTTGTTTCCCCTGGAGGCTTAATCTACTATATTTACAAATAAGAACAATTTAAAGTTGCCTTTTTTACGTATTTTGTGCATTAGAATATAAATCCTTTACAATAACTTGTAAAAAATGCAGTGGCTTTGGTTTTTTTATAAAAAAGAGGGGTGACCCCTGTCTAGTTGTACACCACTGGTTGAACCTTTAGAGCTCATATTTTAGGGAATGCAAGTCCTACCATGATACATTATCTGTACCAAATTTTATTGAGATCGGTTAATAGATTCCGGAGATATAAACAAAAAATCAATTTTTTGTTGACAACTTCAACACCCTGTATTTTTAAAACGGTGC